AAACAATTTTTTTTATTTTTTGACATTTTTTAGTTGTTCAAAATCAATAAGTTAAATCAACCCAAAATTGGTGTCATTCGATTCCACTCGGAATTCGATACCGCTCTTGTTAATGACAAGTGATCATATGATCAAGCGCGGGCTTGGTATTATAGCTAAAAGATCGAGAAAACGTGGAGTTAGGGTTTCCGGAACCGCTGGGCATGAATTCGAAGAAATTTTCGCAGGAAAAATTTGTTTGAATTTATGTCTCGACGTAAAGTCTGATTGTATTTTTAAGCAAGTGCGTTGGCATTATCCGGAAATGAACGCTTTGTTTAAAAATTTTAGAAAAATGCATCAACTTTATAAAATCTCATTCTTAATGAAAAATTTTGTCTCGACACTGCTACGGTCGAAATTTTGTTCCCAACTTTAGTCCAAGGTTTAGGAAATGTTTTCATGCCAACTCTTGTGACATTTTCTTTTTAGGAAGTTGATATTGACGTCATTATCGCTCTTGATTCAGACGATAACTGCCATCTGTTTGAGGCTATGCGCAAGTCCACCAAAGGCGATGTCGATAAGGAATCTGCGGTGCTCCTCCTCATTGAGCAACTCAAGGTCATTCTTTTGGACGTGTCATTGAGCATGGGACAGAAGAAGGCGGCAGCGTACGACGTATTTAAGCTCTTCTTCGAGATGCACGTCGATTGGGAGGAATTCTTCGGCGATATCGAAATTGAAGGATTCGGATCATTGTCGCAATTTATAGACGTTTGTCTTCGAGTAAGAAATTTGCATAGTATTGCCAACAAATTAAACTCAACCAATCACGAATACTTACTTGGCGATGCTCCTAGCTGGTAAAACCAAATTCGTAGCTAGATTTGTAGCACTCAAGCGGGGATTTCAACGGTGCCAAATCTTTTGGTCCATATCCACAAAAATTTGAAGTTTGTCGTATAGGGAATATGAGCAGTTTCGGCCAAAAATGGACATTTTTCAAAAATTGCATTTTACGATGCGATATCAAAGCCTAATAGCGGAGTCGGAATCAGCGCATTGAATTACACTTATAAACACCACGTGCGAAAAATGTATAACAATTTTAAAAACTCGCCTTTTTCGAGAACCGTGTGGTCCTCCTCCGCTTTGGTACAAAAATCGACTCCCATTATTGTTACAAGTGGCTACGTATTTTTGACATTTTCAAAGACCCAGAAACTCAGGAAAATTCAGAACCCTCCAATCTGACTGTCCAGTAGGGATGTGCAATATGAACCCTATGTGAACCCTGGTTAATATAGGTTCACATTGTTGACCTTATTGAATGGGCCCATCGATTTAGCCCATTTTTGGCTAGATAACTTAAATCTGATGTAGACGGTCCTATGTCAGTTTTTTGTGTAGATTCTGAATATGTTATTTGTTTCTCCACTTGATTAGTAATTTTGCTTTATAATGGCTATTATATATAGTGAGTATATATATGAGTATTTTCTTGCCGCACCCTCTTTTATCCCTTCCAAAGCTACCCTATTTACCCCTATGAAGGTCCGGCCCTGTATGTGAACCCCAAAAAGGTTTACATGTGAACCTTTGGTTAAATGAGTATTTTCTAAGCAAAATTACTAATCAAGTGGAGAAACAAATAACATATTCACAATCTACACAAAAAACTGACATAAGACCGTCTACATCAGATTTTAGTTGCCTAGCCAAAAATGGGCTAAATCGATGGTTTTAGTCGAGAATAGGGTTGAATTGAAAATAGAGTTCACAAGGTTCACATCGCACATCCCTAAATGCATGAACCTACTGTCCAGATAGTTTACTAAAATTAAACGTTTTCAGTGCAAGAACACCGGAAGCTGTGGCATGAACCCTGCCGCGCCAACCACCGTCGCGCCAGCTCTCTGCCCCAATCGCGCTCAACTGATCGTGGTGTCTGCCCAGAACAAAACAATCTTGACTGATGTGCTCACCGAGAACTACAATACGTGGAATGCCTCGATGAAACTCGGATTCAACAACCTTTTTAACCAGGTGCGCAAGGCTATCTGGGACAATGTTTCATTCACAAGTTCATCGCTCAAGATCACTGAGATCGTGCGAGTCTTCAATTCTTACAAAGCGAACAATCTCAACAAGCAGAAATTGCTGATGGATATTTTTATTGCGGACTGGAATGGGAAAATTCAGCAGTTTTGCGACTGCAGGTCAGGCTAAGTCGGGATTCCTGAAACAAAAATCACAGATTATCAAATTACACATAGTATTGTAGTTTACTTTGTGTAAACATATGCATCTGCCAATAAAATTGCAATGGAATGTGTTTTCTGTACAAGTCATTCGGAAAGTACGAAAAATTTATGTGCCTTATATACTCGTCATATGTGGATTGATCTATAAATTACCTAGGAATGCGCACCAGTTACCTTCCTGATAATTTCATTCTAATGAGAAAACTTGCCAAAAGTATAATTATTCATTTCAACTTTTTGGAATCATATTCAGGAAAATAAAAATTTGTTTAGATGATAAAAAAAATTACGAAATCATAAATCTGGGCCATCTCCATATCTCTGGAGAAATCAGTCGTCACCATCTGAAATGTAAAGAATTGAGGTTTAATCCCGAATTCGATTGTCAGCAGTTCTTGAGTTGGATAAAAGGGCATGTGCTCTGCAAGAAATTTCGTATACAGTCTACCCCCGTTTATCCGGACAGATCGGGACCGGCCGATTCTGTCCGGATAAACGGGGGTCCGGATAAACGAGGGAACTGTTAAAAATTTGAAATTTTTGGCGCGAATTTGAAATTTTTTCAAAAATTTTTAATATTTTTGGCCTATTTTTGAAAAATTTTTGACAATTTTATAAAAAGTGGGCTGAAAACCGAAAAATTTAAGGAAAAAATTCAAATTTTTGACCGAAAATTCGGCATTTTTGGCGAAAAATCGGCCGAAAACAGCAAAATTTTCAAATCAATAGGAGGACCCTTTTGTCTTAAATTTTCCCAATTCAGTCCGGATAAACGGGGGAAATCCGGATAAATGAGGAAAATTTGTATGAAAAAATCCGTTCCGGCCAAAACCGTGCGGATAAGTGAGGGTCCGGATAAACGGAGGTAGATTGTACTCGGAACTAGCCGTTTAAATTGCGATCAAGTGTTGTTGGATTTCTTTATGACTGGAGCGATCTGCACATCCGAGATTGCCGTAGAACATTATGACCTTTCTAATGTCATCTTCGATTTCTTGCGGCATTGGGGTAAAAAGAGGTTACCAAAAAGTTTTTACTTGAGGATTACTCGCCCGAAGACTCCTCTAGTTAATCGCAAAACATTTTGAGTGGGGTCTTATTAGAGTAAAAATTTTCACAGTTAACAATTTCACCCTCGAGGCTATTTCGAAAGAGCCTATATAGACTCCACTAATTCACCTTTCGTAGCTCTTTCAAAATAGCATCGATGATGAAAGTGTTGACTGTGAAAAAATTTTTCTCTAATAAGACCCCACTCAATTTTTTTTGCCAATCTCTAGGAGAGCCTGCGGGCGAGTAATTCCCAAAATTAAAACTTGTAGTTTAGTACACTGGTTGTAGTTACGTCCTGCGAGCTCCAACTTTTCGTAAACTTAAGCTTTAAGGTTGTTCTTAAAAATCATATTAGGACTTAGGCGAACAAAACTACAAAAGCACTTAGTCTTAAATCTAAGCTTAAGTTTAAGCTCGAGCTACGGATCACACCAAATTAGACACCGTAGTTCGAGCTTAGTTTTAGACTTAGGCTTTAGGGCTTATATTGGTTTGGCCGGTAACTATTGTCGGTGTTTTAAAATATAATTTTTAAATATAATTTCCGGCCAAACCAATAGTTAGGCTTAAGCTTAAGTGTACGAAAAGTTAGAGTTCACGGGGACGTAAATACAGCCGATTTTTTAGTATCCAAGTGGGAGCCGCGCCTTTTTTAAACAATTTTAGTTTTTTCAAATTCATAAAAAATATTTCTCAATACTAAAATAAAATAAAAACACAATAACATTTTGAAATCCGTAATATGTTTACATTCCAGAAATTCATGGACTTTAAAAGATTCGACGAAAGCCAAATTGTTCAATCCATCAAAAGCAATCGCGCGCACATTGTCTTAGAAATATTGAAACGAAACTACGCTGGATTTATCGCAAAAGAAGAATAGGATGAAGAAGAAGAAAGGGCTGTGACAATTTTTGAGTTCATCAATAGCGACGTGGGAAAGAAAATGCAACTTACTTTAGAAACAAAAGAATACGAGAGAGATGACAACGATGACATTGAAACATGTTTCTTACTTCAGATTGAAAATTTATAGTTTTTATATTCTTTGTGTTTCGGCTTCAATCTCGAGGAACAAGGAGCACAGCCTGTTTCCGGGTAAAAGACTTTTCCGATATTTAAAAAAAATTTCTTCTGGCAAACTTTGCGGAATTTCCTGGACCACTTTGTCTATTCTGCTTTGCATGCTTTAGTGCTTTTTTGCATGCCTTATATAGGCCTAAATTTTGCAAAGAAGCGATCTTTGGACGCTTCTTTGCAAAATTTAATAAGCAAATGTTTTGAGGGTTTATTATCATTTTCAAGCTTGATTTGAAACAAGTAAAATAGAGTTTTTGACTAATATAACAAATTTTACAAGTTACTATACAAAATAGGATTTTGGGTTACGAAGGAAAGATGTAAAAAGTTTAAGATTATCTAACCGTTTCGACTCTAATTCTAGACGGTTAGAACTATTCTGAAACTACGTTAGTTGAGTCTCATTAGTAGATGTCTAACGTAGATTAAAAAGTAAAAGTGAAAACTTTACACTGTTACAAAGGTGGAATATATACCTGGAAATAGAATAGTATCAAGAAAGGTAACAAGTTTTCGTAGCAAAAACATAGAGTATTTGTTAACTATATATCTTTGAGCCATCAAAGAAAGATTGAAATGAACGCTTGAATAAATATGAAAATCAATCAAGGATCAGCATGAGCCCGAATAGCTCAGTGGTAGAGCATCAGACTTTTAATCTGAGGGTCCGGGGATCGTAACCCCGTTCGGGCTAACATTTTTTAGGAACTTTTACACTTCTCCCTCGTTTATTCCTGTCGATCGGCACCGGCCGATTCCGTCCGGAAACTGAAATTCGGAAAAAACGGGAGATTTTTGCTTCCAAAAAATCCTTCCAGGCATTTCCGCCAAAAAGTCAAAAATTTTAACATAAATAAAACCTATCAAAGCCCAAAAACATTCTTATGGGTCCCACTTGAACTAAAAATTTTGAATTTCATAGAGGGTTCCACTTGGGTTAAGTTCTATGCAAAACTCGATCCAAAATTCTCGATCCAAAACTGAACGTTATTTATTTTCTAGTAACTTCTTAGAATGTTCTAGAACATATTTATACTTTGCATTTCTTCCAGAAAATCTGGATCTTGGACACCATTTTCTGAACATTTTCTTTAATTTTTATTACATTTTTACACGAATCTTTCTTCAAGTCTCGAAAGGTCAAACACCAAAAAACAGTGCCGAGCGCAGACTGCACTCTAAAGATCCTAAGATCCATAAACAACATCCAAACCTTCATTCGTCCCAACGCGAATGGCCTGTCAGCCTTGACATTTCCACTCGTCCAATTTTCTAGGAAAACAAGCCGGAGCGTGTTTACTGTTTTGCTCTTTTCCTCTCCTCTGCCGAGCTGTTTACTTCAACTCCCTCACCACTCTACTCAGCATAAACACTCTCTCTCTTTCTTTCTCCCCAGTGTTCAGCTTTACTCGAGGGGTAACCAAGAAGGGGGCAACTAGCCATCCAGTCAAAGTCAGCCAGAGCCAACCAAAGCACATTCGCGCCCGGAGAAAACACGAAAACAGCGGCGTCGGGGACTGTGTCAATGGTCTTTGGTCGGCGAAATTTCGATAACAACACTCTCTATAATCCATACAATCTCTATTTTCATTCATTTGTTACTAGCAAATTGTTAGTCAACAAATTAATTTCACCGTTCATTTTTGTCGGCTGTGCGTTTTGTGGATTTTATGAGCGCTATAAATTAGAAAGTTGTGTTCGGGGAAAGTGATGTGATTGTCATTTTGATTGTTTGATACTTAGTTTTGATACCTTTTTGGGTTTTTAGCATGTTTTTGTTCGTAAGAGAATATTGTATGTCTTACTGGATATCTAAATGTACTTCCTCTAATTAAGGCCCCCGGGATTTTGAAAAATGACGTCCAGAATTTTGGTAAAAATTTGCTTCTTAAGCAAATTAGTTTTCTCTAAGCTTTCTTGCGCCTTAACTTAAGCTTGGACTTAGAGCTTTAGGAGGACCCTTAGAAGGATATATTGATGAGGCATAGACTAGGATTTATCTCAGCTGAATTTTTTCAATTCCAAAAATCCGTTTTATTAGTTTACTTAGTCCCGAACCGCTAAATTATTCCCCATGTAAAGCAATTCTGGTACTAAATTAGCTAAGAGAAAAAATTTGACTCGTATGCATCAATAGTTTGATACTTTGTTTTGATACTTTTTTGGTTTTTTAACATTTTTTTGGTCGTAAGTGAATATTGTATATCTCTGGATATATCCGGGTATCTTACAGTATTTCCTCTAATTATACCCCTTCAGGGATTTTGAAAAGTTGACAAACTGACATCCAGAATTTCGGTTAAAAATTGCTGGCTCATAAAATTAGTTTTCGCTGAGCTTTCTTGGAATTTTAACTAAGGTTTGGCTTGTAATTTTAGTTAAGCCTTATAAGGGCATACTGAAGAGGCTTAGGCTGAGATTTAGGATTTAAAGGTTAGGTTTTCTCGGATGCTTTGCATTTTTAAATTTTAGAAATACGATTTCGTTAGCTCTTTTGATCCCGAACGTTCCCATATAAGGCAATCCTAGACCAATTCCGATATTAAACGGTATTTGAAATTTGAGAAGAGTGTTAGACAATTTTGGATTAGCCGTTTTGGATCCCCTGAGGAATTGATAATCCCAAGAATTCTTGGGATTATCTCAGTATTTCTTGGGAAAATCAGAATTGGATTTGCGAAAGTTTTCAACCGATTTTTCAAACAAAAAAACTATCGTTTTCGAAAAAAAATACAAATTTAATAATTCCTTCCTCTCCTATTTCCTACCCTAAAAATTTGGACAAGTTGCACTTTACTTTGCGAATCTTGCGATTTTACATTTGCCTAATTGTTGCCGTATTCAACTCTGAGTAATCTCTCTTATCTTCAGATGATCCGAAAAATATCGCAGCAATACGCTCAGGTCGGCCACCGACTCTTGACTTCCAATCCGTGCGCCGCGCTTTCCGCTCGAAGCATTCACGACGAACAGGGCAAGAAGGGAAATGTAAGTGTTTACAAGTGTTGCATTTTTGAGACTGGATTAGATTTGTTAGGATTCTCGCACAAATTAGGGGCCCATGAAATCTTTGTAAATGTAATTTTTGTAGTATAAAAATTGTTAGCAGAAATTGAAAGTTTTGAGATATGAACTCTTATTTGTAGTTAAGACTATAGTACATCCGTGAAAAACATCATATCGCTTTTTTCTTGAATAATGCATAGGAAGTATTGGCTTAGGTGGTTTAGAATGTAACTGGCAGAGAGGTACTTTTGCAGAAAAAATTTTGTGGCGTAAATCCTAGGACCATATATAGGCCTAGCCAGAAATTTAAAATTTTGAGACATGGACTGTTAGTAATTTTTTGTACTTATGAGTCAAATACTGTAGTTCATTTGAAGAAAAACTATTGCTTTTTTCTTGAATAATGTGTAGGAACTATTTTCTTAGGTAGCCTAGGTTAGGATGTAACCTAGGGACAGGCACTTTGGCAGAAAAATCGATCGGGTACATCCCGGAATAGCCCGACCGTAATTTTATGGGTGCATGTCTAAATTTTTCATACGCTTCCCAAATTTCAAGGCTAGTGAGCCAGAAACCCCTTAGCTACCAGATAAAAAAGATCTAGAAAAGTAAGTTATCGACTTTGGAAGGCATTTTACCTATATTCTTTCCAGGTGCAAGGCAAGACCAATCTCGAAGCTGAAGCAATGAAAGCCGACGGCGCGAAACACGTGACCTTCACCGAAAAGCATATCCATCAGGAGGATATCGTGGATGGAAAAGTTCACATCGAGAACAAAGACGTCTTCAAAACCGAAGTGGTAAGTATCTAGAATGTTCTGTTAGCTCCTTTAAAGGGCAAATGATAGTTGGATTGCTTCTAGTTCTACTTTGCACTTTGAACCCTACCTCAGCTTAAGCCTATTCAATTTTTTTTTGTATAGAACTAAAGCCTAGCTTAGGATTTAAGATTAAGCATGGACTAAGATTAAGCATAAGCTTAGGCATCCGCCTTGAGCTAGATAAGAGCAGGTCTAATTTTAAGCACTAAACTCTAAGCTTAAGCTAAAAGAGTGAACCTAGGCTTTAAGCTGGGCTTAACTTAGGCTTAGACTTAGAAAAGTTACTTTTCCCTTCTTGATTTAAGACCAAGCTTGAGTTTGAAAAATTTGGGTCTATAGTCTCAGGTCTAATTTTAAGCTCTGGATAAAAATTAAGCTAAACTTAACTAAGCTTAAGCTAAAAGAGTGAACCTAGGCTTTAAGCTTAGGGTTAGACTTAGAAACGTTTACTTTTCATCCTCGACCTAAGCCTAAGCTTAACCTTAGAAATTTTTGGTCTAATTTTAAGCTCAGACTGAAAGTTAAGCTGAACTTAACTAAGTTTAAGCTAAAAGAGTGAACCTAGGCTTTAAGCTTAGGGTTAGACTTAGAAACGTTTACGGCTCTCTACATATTCGTAGAATGCATATTCGTAGAACGGTAAATTCGTAGAACGGTAAATTCGTAGAAAATTTGGTTTTTCGCGAATAATTACATTTTTTTGTGACCTCAGACCGCGATTTCGTACCCCCTATAGGTAATCGACACCGCTGAATCCGAATCTGAAGTCAGTTTTGACATCAGAGGCAATATGGTACCACTTTCTGGCATTCTGCCCATTTTTGGCATTTTGTTGGACAGAACGCCATAAAGTTGTGCTACGCCAAAACTGACTTCAGATTCGGATTCAGCGGTGTCGATTACCTATAAGGGGTACGAAATCGCGGTCTGAGGTCACAAAAAAATGTAATTATTCGCGAAAAACCAAATTTTCTACGAATTTACCGTTCTACGAATTTACCGTTCTACGAATATGCATTCTACGAATATGTAGAGAGCCACGTTTACTTTTCCATCCTTTATCTAAGACTAAGCTTAAGCTTGAAAATTTTTGATCTAATTTTAAGCTCAGACTTAAAGTTAAGCTAAACTTAACTAAGCTTAAGCTAAAAGAATCAAGTTTTAAGTTTTGTTTTGACTTAGACAAGTTTACTTTTCCGTTCATCATCTTAGACTAAGCTTAAGCTTGCAAATTCTTGGTCTAATTTTAAGCTCAGTATCAAAATTAAGCTAAACATAACTCTAAGCTTAAGCTAAAAGAATGAACCTTTTAAGTTAAGCTTTGTCTTAGACTTAGAAAAGTTTACTTTTCCATTCATCATCTTAGACTAAGCTTAAGCTTGCAAATTCTTGGTCTAATTTTAAGCTAATTTCCATTCTCGCTTATTGATTCCTTTATCTCATCTCACCTCTAATCTGCACTTAAATTCCAGGAACAGGACATTCACGAGGCCCACCAGACTGACTATTCCGGAAAATTGTGGGACGCTGGCCCAGTCAAAATGACCGAACAACAAATCTCCGAAGAACTGATCCCGGGCGAAACGGACACCAAACTGCCTCCGGCTTGGGAAGAGGACCTGAACCATCCGAGCGTCAAGGGCGAAGGTGGCGACCGAGTCTACTACGAGTCCAAGCACCTGCACGATTTGACCAAGCACAACGAAAAGCAAATGAAGCAGAAATTCGAGAAAGGTCAGAAGTGAAGCATTTGAACGGAATGCCAAGAAAAATGAGGCTGTGTAATTTCATCGAGATCAATATTTGATTTAAATTATGGATTCCATTTGACAGTTAGTTTTGTATGACAGGTAAATTTGATATGTA